GCACGGGAAGTACATCGAGCTCTGCTTCACAGCAGACATGTCCAAAGTCGTCCTGTCCGAGCAGCAACACCGATTGTTGGATGACAGCAGCGTCACAACTATGCGAGTATACGTTAGTGCTGCTTCCAAACGTGCCGTGGTCGTCAAGGAAGACGATCTACTCACGAAGGCCGACATCCAAGCAAATCCGGTCAAAGTTTCCAAAGCCCTTTACACAGAATTGAAGACTTGGCTTGACAACAAATGCTTCCAGATGACTGACTTGAGCAAAGCGTCTAACATCATGACGTCACGCTACGTATACAAATGGAAGTTTGTCAAGAACGAAAAGGGCGAAATGGAAAGGACGATCAGGTTACGCTTGGTACTCCGTGGCTTCATGGACCTTGAAGCCTTTGATGTCGAAACCTTCTCTGGCACGGCAAGGAGGTCAAGCCAGAGACTGCTCGCAAGTTCTGCTGCATGCAACAAAGCTTGGATCATCGCTTCCCTGGACATCAACATGGCTTTCTTGAAGGGACTGACCTATGGCGAGCTCGCCGCGGCAACGGGCGAGAAAGAGCGTGTGGTGTGCTTCACACTACCACCTGGGTCAGCAGCTGTCCTTCGCACGCTGCCAGGCTTTGAGTCATATGACGAATCAAAGCATTGTCTTCGGTGTCTAAAGCCGGGGACGGGCACGAAGGATGCTCCCAGGGCATTCTCGCTGAAGCTCAGGTCCATCACTAGGAGCTTTGGGCTACAGCCTACTTCATACGACGAAGAGTTCGAGATGAGCTCAAACCTCTTGACAGCCAAGCACGTTGATGACATCAATATGACTGGGAAGGAAGAGGCTATTGACAAGTATGTCAAGTGTGTTGAAGATACGTTTGGGAAGTGCAAACTGAACAAGCACACATACACAAATTGTGCCGTTCGGTATAACAAGACCGATGATGGGAGCGTCACTCTTGATCAGGACGAATACATCAAACAGCTTCGTCCTATCACACATCCAGAACTCACAGGAGCTGATCCTGAGAGCAAAGCGACAAAGACGATTTCTGATATGTTCGTCAGTCTTCGTGGCGCTCTAGCCTATGCGTTGATCACGCAGGTATGGCTGATGGTCTATGTTGTCTCACTACAACGTATCCAGGAACCGAACATCCAGGTACGACGACTAAACGCGGTTACCAGAAACTACAGGCAGGTCCGAAGAAGATCGTGTATCAAGCTATGACCCCAACAGGAGAAGTCGACCTGCATAGCGATTCTGGCTATCGTCGTCTCAACGGAGATGAAGACGACGAAGTCAAAGGCTATGGTATCCGCGGGGCTAACCTGCTGAGGCGTGGCCACACGCAAGCGGGGAAACCCGTCGTGCACCTGGTGGACGCATACTGCAAGTCTCATCGACTGCAGGTGCGTTCGAGCTACTCTGCGGAAACACTGGCAGCAGCCCACAACTTGGAAGACTGCTACCCGACCATTGTAACGCTCCACGAGCTACACTCGGGACCATTGACCCCCACACAGTTAAAGAACATATTGGAAATGGGTGGTCTATGTATCAAAGTCACTCTGACTATTGATGCCGAGTCTGTCTTCAAGTCTTTGTCTAGCAAAGATCTGAAGAAGCCCACAGAATGTACTCTGCTTGGGCACATTAGCTGGATCCGCCAGATGATGGAGCGCGGAATCGTTGAAAGCGTTCAATGGTGTGACACGCGGGATATGACTGCCGATGGTCATACCAAAGGTAGTATTGACCGCGCGTTGCTCCTACAAGTAATGGCCGGCCAGCAATCCTTCAAGCACGAGCTGAAGAAACATACGCCGTATAGGGCGGGCAGGTCGTCTCAGGACGGCCCTGCCTCCCGAGCTAGCGGGGAAACCCGCGGGCAGGTGCGCTTTAATAGCGAGGAAACTCGCCGGTAGCGAGGCTACTCGCGCGCCCTTTCCTTGTAGGCAGCCGCTGCTGCTTAGCACTGTTTTTCCGCATAATGTAGAAGTGCGGTGCCTGCTCGTCTCCTCCCCCTCCGACTTTAAACGGAGAAGGTTAAAGGCGAGGTATAAATCGAGCATGTACCGCTGCCGTGCCTGGCTCAAGCCGGGCCCGGCCAAATATGTGATTGTGCCTCACCGAGGCGCACGACTTGCATCAGAGATCGGAAAATACCTTTTCCATTGACGATGCCCATCCTATCCTTTACTCCAGATCCCATGCTTCGTCTTGCTCTCTTGCTCATGCGATATGAGCCAAAGCCTGGGATATGGCAACGCTTAAAGCGTAACACATACCTAAGCTTACCAGCTTGTTTTCGACTCTTACAACTGTTCAGAACGAATGTGCGCGGCGCCAAGGAGAGGACAACATTTTGGAAGCGGCCCGCCGTCCATCTGTGAAATTGTTGTCAGTTCTTAAACTTCAGTGTCATTGCAAGGAAGTCTCAGGCGAAACGATTGGCCTGTCCTTCCGATTGGCACTGGGGGGCGACAGGGATGAGGTAGTCATAAGGGAAAGAAATTGAAGTTCGAGGCTTGAGATTTTCTGAAGTTTTCGTTGGTTCTCGGCGGCTTTCCAGCCTCGGGGTGCCCTCCTGCAGCTGCGCCTCCCCGAGAGCGTTCCGGGGATTCCGGATCGTCCCGAAAGGCCGCCAGAGGAATGGAGTTCATTCGAAAGCCAAGGGAGGAGGAGGAGAAAGAGGACGAGGAGGAGGAGGAGGAGGATTCGGAGGTATTTCTCACCCCAGCGGGGCTAGTAATCTCACTCTTTCTTCACACCGCCTGCATTTTTCGACTGCGGTCACTGGCTACAGCGCCCGAGCCAGCATCTACATGTATTTGTCTCAGTTGCGTTACAGCTTCGTCACCAAAGTCTGTCCAACAGGAGGAAACGGAGGAGGAGGAGGAGGAGGAGAAGGAGGAGGAGGAGGAGGAGGGTGCCGGGGTCGCGGGTTGAAGTTGGAGGAGGAGGAGGAGGAGGGGGAGGAGGAGGAGGAAGGTCGGCGGTTCAAAAATGGGGCCCCGACGGATGGGGCCCTGAGGATATGAGGGGGTTCCAGGTCGGATTTGCATCGGTTGAGGCCCCTCGTTTTTGGGGCCCCATCCTGCAGGGCCTGATCTTTCAACCGCCCGAAAGGAAAGAGAGCAGGATGAGGCACTACAGTAGTAGGCACGCCAAGCAAGTAGTTGGCCGACAAACGGGTGCCCCACGATGATTTCGTAGTTTGCGATGGGTCCGCAGGGACTTGGGTCACATAACGAGCTCATAGTCCACGAATGATGCGCCCCTAGATGTCTCGTAGCAAGATTTCGTGTTGTGTGTGTGTGTCTACAATATTGGTCGCGGACTTTGATTTAGGCGTGCTCCTGACAGACTCAGCGATGAACACATTCCTTCTCTAAGCGGACACGCGCACACACACACACACACACACACACACACATATAATATGGGCGTTCGTTACCCAGGCATTCACACACGTTTCTACATATGCGTATAGTGTGTATATACGGACGTGTGTACATACACATATGTGTTTATGGGAGGCAGAGAGAGAGAGGGAGATAGGGAGAGTGAGAGAGAGGTAAACAACAATAATCACATATCAGGGAGGGCTGTATTCGGGTTTAGCCCGAATTTGTTTTTCGCGAAGTAAACTCCGACTGACTAAATGATTGACTGACTAACTGATTGACTGACTGACTGACTGACCACTGACTGGTCGCACCCGTTACGCGACGGTTTGATTCTCGGCGGCCGAGGGCGCAACCTATGAAGCAACCAATAGGAGACGGTTGTATTCTCGGCCGCCGAGGCGCAACCTATGGCGCAATCAATAGGAAACGATGTTGTTCTCGGCGGCCGAGGGCGCAACTTATGGCGGAGCCAATAGGAGACGGTTTTACTCTCGGCGGCCGAGGGCGCAACCTATGACGCAACCAATAGAAGACGGTTTCATTCCCGGCGGCCGAGGGCGCAACCTGTGGCGCAACCAATCGGAGTCGGTTTTATTCTCGGCGGCCGAGTGCGCAATTTTTGGAGCACGAGGAGGAGTTGGAGCACGAGGAGGACGAGGAAGACGAGGGGATGAGGAGGAGGAGGAGGAGGAGGAGGACGACGACGACGATTTGGTTGGGGAAGACGACGGGGAGGAAGACGAATACTGACGAGGTGTGGGCATTCGAATGCGTGAGGGGCTACGGTCGACTTCTGCTCGCCATTTGGGCTGGCGGTGGGGCCCAAGCTGCGAGCTGTCTTGTGATCTCCCATCCTCCCAGGCTTGCTCGAAGAAGTCCAGCGAGGGAGGAGGAAAGGTGAGGACAAGGAGGAGAAGGCGAAGGAGCAGACGGTTGACGCAAGAACCCTTTCGGAGTTTTTTGCGGGTTTGCTTGCTCTTGCGGCGCCGGTGTTTCATATTTGTTTTGTTTGGTTTCCGCTTTGCTACTGTGTGCCCCTCCAGTTAGCCTTGCGCTGGCCATCGTGTAGGAGATTTGCAAGGCACACGCATATCAGGAAGAGGGGGAGGAGGAGCATGAGGAGGAGGAGGAGGAGGAGGAGGAGGAGGAGCAGGAGGAGGAAGAGGACGACGAGTTCAGGTGAGGGAGAAGCATGAGAAGAATGAGGGGGTGATGTGTGCTCATCGGCTGATGTCCTTTTGCATGTTTTCCTCCTTGTCCTCCTCCCCCTCCCCTCCCCTCTGCTTCTCTGCGTGCTCCTGTTCCTCCCTCGGCCCCGCGCCTTCTGGCAGCATGCTTGTCCGACCCTGGCGCCCGAACAGGGCGCGACTCCTCGCATGTGACGCATCGTCGGCTTGCCTTGTGGATCGCGAAGCGTTCTCTGTAGTCGAGCAAGACGACGCTCTGCCCGCTCGTCCTGGCACTTTCCTTGAGCGCTGCCCTGAGCGCCGTGCTTTGATCGGAAGCTGCGCCTGTGGAGCTCGGGCTCCGAACGAGTCCTCGACCCTGGTGGCTGCGTGCGCTGGTGTGTGGCTGCTGCGCTGCCGCGCGAGCTCGTGCCGTGCGAGAGCGCGTTCTGGACTGCGACGCGCAGGTTCGCACCGGCGAGGCACCTGCAGGTAGGCGCGTCCGGAGCTGAGTGGCTCGGGCCGGCGCCACAGGAGTCCCAGCAGAATGGAAAGGAGGGTCAGAAGGGGGGAGGGAGAAGGACGGATATGAACAAATATGCAGTTTATTGGTACAGTATCAACATGTATGTATATGTGTACATATATATATATATATATATATATATATGTATATATATATATATATGTATATAGGTATTTGCCCTAGATGGCCTCAAGACTGCCCAAGAGGCCCCGACGACGTCCCAAGAGCGTTCCAAGCGGCGTTCCAAGAAGGCCCCAATAGGCAACAATAATTGATTGCCCGTGATCTTTGAAGGTCATTGGCCTTTTCGCATTTTCGGCTTTCCGACGCTCTAAGACTGCTCACGAGGCCCCAAGATCGCCCCAAGACGGCATCAGGAGGCCCCCAAGAGGGCTCCGAGACGCCCCACTATAGTGAACCTGGGAGTTGGGTTGGGTTGTAAAGTATTTGTAACCCAGTTGTAAGGTAGTGGTAAGGTAGCTGCAACAGAGTTGCAAGTCTGTTAAGCGTTTGTAAATTCAGGTATATTACGTAGCTACCTTAGCAAGTCACACAACATGTGCAGGACTTGGCCCACACGTGTCTTAACTTATCTTGACTTAGGCCCAGTTGCAATTTGACGCAACGATATTTTGTTGATGGCTGAAGTGGGATTTGCCCAATCGTAAAGTTTGAATTCCACTTCACAGTTTTGTGTTCGGATGAGGCCCGCATTGCGTGTTTCTGATTCTCAAACGTCGCACGCGGGGCAATTATGAATAGAATTCTCCACTTGCATGAAGACGCATCCGTCGCTGGATTCTGTGCCAAGTCGCAATTGCGCGCTCGACGAGCGACTCCGCGATTAAATTTGGTCAGCGTTTGCAGCAACTGCTTTCTCCATCATGTGTCGCAATTCATTTTGTCACTCATTACGCATGCTGTCGGTGCAACGCGTGCCATTAATTCAGGTGAGACCACGCTGTAGATCAAACAGAATGTTGTTGTCTCAGCATTGGGAGTTGCAGGTGGCGATGTGTAGGCGTGTCAGGCTCGAGCTCGATTCTCTCTTCTGCAGTTGCTGTTTCTCCAGTGCGCACAATGCAGAGTTTCTATCCGCAAGAGCTGGTGGATTCCATCCGAGTGCGCATCGAGATGCATCGCGAAGGCAAGCTTGCCCCGATCACAGCTTGGACGGATTGCGCCGACCGCCTCTTGAAGAAGAAGGTCGCCAAGCATATCGTTCGCCGAGGCAGACGACTTCATCATCCACCCCTCGAACCGTTCTGGCGTTGGCGTGAACGCTTACAACGTGCCCAGGATTGGCGCCATGCTCAAGCATATTGGCGTTGACCCTGCAGAGCTCGAGAAGGCGGATGCGTTCGAACGCATGCCAATGGATCCTATGAGGCCGCCCCAAGTTACATTCAATCCGAAGTTGATTTCGCCCAGTAAGGGCACGCTGGCGCCGATGGCGGGCGCTGAGAGGTGCTGCGCGGTAGGGGCGGGCCACGCCGCGCAGTTTTTCAAGGCAGTGAAGGCGGGTTGTTCCACGCCTGAACCGAAACTCGCCGACCCGACGATGGGTGGGAAGATGAACGCCGAGACGCTGGACCAGGACCCGCGTTTCCACAACGCCCTCGCGAAGGGCTGGCGTTGGACCGTCTTGCCGCGGCAGGCAGAAGCGACGCGGCCGCGCCTTCCAGATTCGGCACAGCGCGCCCTCACCGCGAGCAACAACGTTGCCAGTTTGATGCCGGAACTCGAAGTGTGCGCGAGCATTGCAGATTTTGCAGAACTGATGCCGTCTGAGTCTACTTTCGCCGCCTGTGTTGATGCAGCGAAGATGAACCAGCCACCGCGCCAGGCAGGCTGCTCGGGAAAGCATCTCTTGCAAATGCGCGCGGCGCGCGCGGGCGCGGCCACGACGCATTGAAACGCAAACAACATGTTGCCGACTGCGCTTGCCCGGCATGCGCATTGCATGCGGTCTGCGTTGTGGCCGCGCGCGCCTGCGCCGCGCAGCATCTGCATGAGGGGGGGGGGGGCGTCTCCGACGGGAGGATTACATTGACAAGATTGCCAAGCTCGCAACGCACTGCGGCGGAGGATCTGGTGTCCCGATGGTTAAGTTCACGGATAGGTTTGGCAGGATGTGCGTTGCTCACAAGAAACTCGGGCAGGATTTCGTTACGTCAATTGTCGACGTTCATTTTGGTGATCTCGAGCCATGCGTCTCCTTGCGCGTTGCTGGCATCCTTGCAAACCTTGCTTCAGATAAGCAGTCGGGCGGCGTGGCGAACCGATCGGTACCCAGTGACATTGAGAAGTTGAAGGGCAAATCCGTCAAGGAGAAAGCGATTGCGCTCGACGGAGACCTGTCCAAATGTTATCGCATCGCACTCCCTGCGCGCCAGCGGCCGCGTCGATCTAGAGCAGCGTGGCACGCTGGTTGGGAAGTGCTTCACTCGCCCAATTTTGCGTTTAATCGGGAAGGTGAAGCAAGGTCCAGAGGGCGTCGTTTTTGAAAGCCAGGCGCCGATTATCTCAGACTTCGTATCTGAGGCAGCTGGTATGTGTGGCGGCGACGTTGTCATTGACCCAGGCGGCCAGTGGGCACCTGCTGCGACCTTACAGCCAGCGGACCAAATTCTACAGATGACAGGGCGGCCGTGATGACCGACGAGGACCTGCGCAACCCAGAGCGCAGCTTTGCAACCAAAGGTTTCACTGTTCGGAGCATCGTGTTTGAGGGCGCCGTGGGCGCGATCGCGGGGCTGTACAAGATTGCGGCCATTGGTTCAGCCGAAGTAACCATGGGGCAGTTGACTGCATTTTCTGAGCCAGCGTTTGACGTGAAGGTCGCCCTCGCGTTATTCTTCAAGGGGTGGGCGTCTTGCAAGGGCAGCGCGCCCTTCGCAGTGCCGCTGCCTGCAGGGACGTGCGCTTCGGCGCATCAGCTGATGAAGGCGGATGAGTCGCGTTGCGCCGTGTTCAAAGCCCTCAAAGATTTCGAGCAGACTGCCAATGATGGCGCGATGTTGCAATGCGGCCTTACCCCCAGCGCCGCCGTTGCCGCCCAGAAGATCGAGAAGGGCACGCTCGTCCTTGCGCCGTTCTCAGAACTGAACAAGATCCAGGCAAAGCCGTCGCAAGGTGCGGTCCAGGTCAAGCGCGGGCCCGCAGCGTCGCGCGCATCGCCCCCGACGAGGGCGACTGACCAGAAGAAGGCCGACGCTGCCGACGCATTCTACATTCCTTATTGGTGGGTTCGGGAGACGGACAAAGAGGAACATGCCAACGTTGCTCTCGTTCAACAGAGCACCGTCCACATCAGTTTCAAAGCTTACAAGAACATCAAGGCCTTACAGCAGTTCGACAAACTGCTTGTCTATAAAGCCAAAGAGCGCCATGCGCCGTTGCAGTCTGCAAAGAGGGTCAAGCTCTCGGAGGGGGGTGCCAAGCCTAAGGGCAAGGCTAATGCCAATCCTAAGGGCAAGACTGCCTAATGGCAAGGCGTAGCGCTCGCAGTGCGGCTTTCATTCGCGCGCCATTTGGCTGAGGGATCGCGCGAATAGCGCAGGTTAAAAGCGCCATGCCGCGCACATGCGCATGGATATGCAACGGTTTAGATGCGTTTCCAGCGTCTCACGCGCGCCCGTATGTGCTTGGCGGGCGCGTCGTAGAGCCTTGCGACCCACGGGCCCGCGCGATGTCGCAGCGGGGGCGGCGCGGGCGAAGCAGTGGCAAGGGGCCGGCGCAGACGTAGACCCATCGCTTCATCCCTAGCGTCTGTAGCACGCTGGCTTGATGATGAGGAGGGGCGGGCGGGGGGGGAGGAGCGCTATGGAGGAGCTTGAGGAGGAGGGATGGGGAGGAGGAAGGAGGAGGGGGAGGACGAGGAGGAGGAGGACGACGACGACGAGGGGGAGGAGGATGAGGCAGTCCACAATCTGCGATATGTTTCGCCTGGTTACGCTGTGAGGACTCCTTGCGTCGCATGCATATGCGTTCGCGCGCGCGCGAAGTGCGGACATTTGCACCGCGCCGCAGTGCGCGGTCGCCCATGTGTAGCCATTCGCAGGCGTTTTGCCTTGATCGCTGCGTTCGTGGCCAACGCAGTCCGCGGCGCCATGGCAACGCTGCAATGCTCGGTCGCATGGCGATTGGAAGTCAACGTTGGCGACTCCGCATGGGCCCCCAGGTCTGTGCAAAAGGTGGATGACGACGCGTGCGCCACGGTTCATCCATATGAGCACAGCATACGCAAAGCACGATTGCAAAGTGGTGGTGGGACATGCCCCAAGTCAACGGCCCGACCGTCTATCGGCAACACGCCTGGATACAAAGCAATCATTGCCGCGAGAACCGCGCCCTTCATCGGGGGCGCCCCCGCGCGCGAGCGCAGGCCTGTCAGGCAGTTGTTTCGTCAGAGGAGCAGCCCGAAGCGCCGTCCCAAACCAAAGCGCCGGTCCAAGCGTGAGATCAAGGCCCAGAGAGAGGGACCGCCCGTGGTTGTTGACGTTGCATTGCCCCCTGTCGGCGACGTCGCCTTCCCCAGCATCAGGATGCTCACGCCAGTGAGGGCAACCGATCACACGTGGGTCAACGCGTCTGACGACTCCGTCTGCGCGCTCGTGCAATGCATCATGGCCCACGGCGTCACCAGCCAGATGATCACGACCAAGAGGGCGTGCAGCAGAAGGGGCGACGACGACGACTGCGACGCCGAGAGCAGCGAGCATGCAGTCGTCAGCCCATGCGGCGCTGAGCCACTAGACGATGCAGCGGGGTCATCTTAGACTGCGTCACCGCAACGTATTGTCCCAGTGTGCGCTTGCAGGATGCCATGTATAAATGCATTTATGTTCGCGCAACATCATTGGTTTTTGTGATGGATGCACGTTTGCATTGCAGTATCGGGGTCAGTGTTTGCATGTGCACGCGCATGGTTATGCAGTCGTCGTGTTGATTTGCTGCGTTGCATTTTCTGCAGTTGCATTTGCTTTGTTGCATGTGCTGCAGTTGCATGTGCTGCGTTGTATTCGCACCGTTCTCGCGCGCCGACTTCTCGAACCAGCATTTTGCGAGGCTGGCGGCGCCGGCCTTGGGCCGAGCCCAGGCGGGCCCCCACCCCCGCCGCCGCGAGGCGTCGGCGGCCCCCTCGCGGCCCCCTCCGCGGCCCCCGCAGGGGCGCCGCCGCGGTCGCTGCTCGGCGGGCCGCCTGCAGCGGAGGCTTCTCCAGCCGCTGCTGCTGAGGAGCCTCGGGCAGCGATGCGAACGGTCGGAACTTGTTGGCGTCGCGTCGTGATGGCGCGGCCCTGCCTCGCGCCGCGATCGGCGCGTGGCGGGGCGGCGTGAGCGTGGCGCTCGGTGGCCGGTGCATATTTGGTGCGCCAGGACCCCCCCCCCGCCCTGCATAGAAAGGGCCCCATGGAGGGCCCTTCTATGCCGGGCGGGGCGCCCCTTTCGCGCCCCCCTTCAGAGGGGCATGAGGGCGCGGGCAGCGCCATGAAGAGGCAGCGGACGGGCGAGGTCTCGACCTCCATGCACCAGCAGGTGCTGAACATGCTGGGGGAGCACAAGGGCGTGCGCTCGGCGAGGTTCGTCGACGCGCTCGCCTCCCGCCGCCTCGGCGACGGCGCCCGCGAGACGACGGTGGGCGTGCTCAAGGGGGTCTGGCACAAGATCGGCGCGGTCGGCGGCGGCCCCGCGTGTCGCCAGGAGCCGATCGACGACCCCGCCGCGCTTAACACGTCCGGGCTCTTCCTGTTCTACGCGCGACAGGTCGAGCAAGGCTGGGCGCGGCGGGTCGCGAGCTCGACGCTGGACGTCGGCGCTGCGTGCTCGTGCCCCGACGGCTGCGCGCGCGCCGGCGGCGACGGCGACGCCGGGGAGTGGCCGCAGGAGCTGTGCCAGGCCATGAGGGCAAGAGGAAGGAAGAGGAATGGGGACGAGGAGAAGGAGGCGGAGGAGGAGGAGGAGGGGTAGGAGGGGTAGGAGGGGAGGGGGGGGGTGGGGAGGAGACGAGAAGGGGGGGGGGGGGGGGAGGAGGACGAGGAGGGGGGAGGAGGAAGACGGGGAAGAGGAGGCGGAAGGGAAGAAGAAGAGGAGGAGGATGTGGAGGAGGAGGATGAGGAGGAGGAGCCACATCAGGGTTTCTCGACGGATGTGGTGGAGCAGCTGGAGGTCCTCCCATACACTGAGTTCCTCGAGCAGGCCATCGAGGCTCACGTCGGCGGCGGCCGCGCCGCAGCAGCACCAGCGCAACCAGCAGCAGCGCCAGCGCCACCAGCAGCAGACGCAGTGCAAGCAGCAGCACCACGCGCAGCAGCACACGACGGCGAGCCAGCACCACGCGCAGCAACACACGACGCAGCAGCACCACGCGCAGCAGCGCCGAGCGGCCCGACGCCTCCAGCGACACCGCCACCAGGCGCCATCAAGGCGCGGCGTGGGCCCGCGCCGACGCCGCCCGCTCCACCGCCGCCAGCACCTGTGGTGGATCATCGGTGCAACGCCCACGGGGAGGAGCAGGTGCGCGGTGGGTGGAGCGGGCGGCTGATGAGGATGGCCGATCACTACAGCAATGGTGATTGGCCAGCGTTCGAGACGATCATCGCGGCCGTGCGCTGCGGCGGGATCTCCAAGGGCTCGGGCTGGTTCTCAGATCGCGGCGTCGAGATCGTCGAGAGCTACGAGGCGGGCGACTTCAAGAACGTCGGGCAGCTCCTCGCGCTGGCGCGCGAGAGGTTCGACAACAAGGGCGCCAAGGGCGGCGCCAAGGGCGGCAAGAAGGGCGGCGGCAAGGGCGGCAAGCTGGCGCGCTAGGAGCAGCTGGGCCTGCTGCTCGCGTCGGAGGCGTCCACCACGACCGCCTCCGACGCCCGAGGTCGGCAGCAGTGGGTGAACCACGGCCCATCGCACATGGCACCTAAAAGTGCGATCGCACTTTAAGGTGAGCAGGCGACAGCGTCTAAAAACGTGATCACACTTTAAGGCGCTGTCACCATCGCACCTCAAAGTGCGATCACACTTTTAGGTGTCATTCGGTTCATGCGGCCTCCTGAGGCATAGGGGGATCTTCTTGGTGCCGCAGGCTCGCTCGGCGCGTGCAGCAGCTTCCACGAGTGAGCCTGGCGGCGTTCATGAATTTGCGCCGCGAGCGCCATCATCTTGCCGTGCGCGGCCCGCCGCTTACTTCTGGGTTGCCGCACTTCGGCCCGCGTCAACCTCGCGATCATCTCCATATGCCACTTCTTGTCCTCCCTCGCCGCTGTCATCATTGCTTCTGTCAGTGTCTCCTCCTGGCCACCTTTGCCACCATTCACCAGGTTTATTGCTCGCATGTCTCCTTATTTCGGGTTGCAGTCTAATGCATTATCGCCCGCGGGCTGCAGTCTACTGCATTAGCGCCCATCGGCACGGGCTGCGTTCTATTGCATTCACGCCCTGGTACTGTGTATCCTGGTTGATTCTCTCTGGCCGCCCGAGTGCTGCAGGGCGCTGCATTAGCGCCCGACGGCGATGCGCGGCACGGGCTGCAGTCTATTGCATTCGCGCCCGCGGGGTTGCGATGGGGATGGGCACCTGGAGGCGCATGCCGTGGCGGTTCGGCCTCAAGTGTCTGCGCGCGTGCGCCCGAGCTCATCGCGCCTGTTCTCGCGCGCCTGTTCGCCCGATCGCATTGCGCCTGTTCGCCCGGTGGCGCCAACGGCGATGGCTGCAGCGCCAGCTGCAGGCGTGGTCGCTACCAGGAGCGAGTCGGACATCGTGAAGGCTCGGATTCGTGCCTTTAAGAAGGACGTCAAGCATTGGATGGGGCATGGCTCAGGGCTTCCAGCGCTTCGTCGCTGCTGTGGCCAGGAGCGCGAATCAGAACCGTCGCGCGAAGACTGTCTTCGTGGACTCCATGCGCCTGTGGGCTGGCACCCGCGCCGTGGCTGCGCAGACGAGGTCTTCGCAGCTCGGCCGGCTGCAGCGCCTGACTGAGCTGCCAGCTGTCGTGCCTGCGCCGCCCTCGCGAGCATCGGCGTCGCCAGTTGCTTGAGGGTTCAGCGCGCGCGCGCGCTCGCGTGTTGAGGGGGGGGGGGGGGGGGGGGGGGGACTGAAGGAATATGAAGATGATTCATGATGATGATTGATGATGATGATGATGGTGATGAGCAGGAGGGGGGGGGGGGGGGAAGTGGGGAGGAGGAGGGGTAGGAGATGGAATCGGATGGCGAGGAGGGCGAGGACGAGGATGCGGAGGGGATGATGGTGAGGACGATGATGCAGGCGACTTTGAACTGCTATATGGTGGCATATAGCGTTCTGGGCGCTGATCTTGCCGAGCGATCGCAGAGTTCCAGCTGCGCGCTTATGCGCTAGAAAAAATGTTGCCTTCCACCGCATATGCGTTTCGTTGCGTCACGTCGTGGCCCGGTTGCGGGGCGTCCGATGCCACGTCTCTGCCCCGCGCTCGCTATCCGAAGCAGGTCGAGCGGCGATGCCGACCCGCAAGCCCACAAGCAATCGGCTTGGCAAGAACATGATTGATGCCTGAAGCCAACGCCATGATGCATCCTCATCTTTGCATTACCATTTGCACATTGTCATGCGTGTGGTGCGTCCTGCGCAAGTTGTGACGCAATCGGTCATGCTTTCTCTTTGACAATTGCGGTCGGCATTCCACAGCCGCATTCGGGTCAAGCCTCGAGTGGCTGTAGGTGTTGCAGGGTTGCAGGAGTGCACCGCGCGCCGTGCGACATGGTCAGCATCGAGGACATAAAGCGTGACATTTCTGATTGCTCGGACTTGTTGGCGAAACGTCCCGGCAGCGAGGAGCTGCAGAACAATTTGGCCGCATCCCTGTGCAGTCGCATGCAATTGCTGCCAGCGCTTTCAGCGCCAGATGCGATCGTCCTCACCGAGTTGCTTAAAGAGAAGTGCACTGTGGGCTCCGTGAAGCGTGCAGTGCTGTCGGCAGTCGATACCAAGGTCGCCAACATCGCTACATCGGCCCCAAGTGGCATCACCGATGCTGGTCTAACGGGCAAGGATTGGATGGTCCTGGAGGACCACAGAGCGTCGGATACCAAGAAAATGGCCATCCTTGCAACACGGTTGCATCGTTTGGGAATCGCACAGCCAGCGCACGAGAAGCGTTTGAAGCGGGCAGTTTTAATATTGATCTGGCGCGAGCATGGGCACAACAAAACGCGGCCTAGCTACCAGAGTATACAACAGCTTCCGCGACACGGTGGGACGCACATACATTTCTGGGCAAGCACGTCCCGTTGCGCGACAACAACCTATTGCTCCAGACAGAGCGGGCTGGCAACCGGCAGTCTGGTGGCTGGGCTCCGCTTCAGAAGGGGCGGCGCGGTGGCTGGCACTCGTCCTGGGGCCAGCGCTCCAAGGGCGACAAATCTGACTGGAACAAGCTGGCCGCTCAGATCCGTGGTATGCACGCGGCGGGGCACTCATGTGCTAGCTCTGCTCACGCGCCAGCCGCGTCGTTCAAGCCAGGCAAGAGCATCGCTGCAGGTGCGGCCCCAGCCGCAGATGCAGCTCACGCTGGTGAGCCCAATGTCACAGCACTTTCACTCGGCGACGGTGTAGCAGCTCCTGCTGATGGTGGCGCAGCTCCTGCGGCGGCTGGCGCGGCTTCCAGCGCGGCTTCGGTTGCGGGTCGCGTCGCGCAGGAGGGTTGCGAGAAGCAGGCGTTCAACGCCTTGGTCAGTAAGGGCACCCGTGCACTGAAGAAGAAGCCTGCTGCAGCGGATGTTGCAAAGAAGCCATCGGCGGCCACTCCCGCCCTGAAGACGCCCGCCGCGTCGAAGGCGTCCAAGGGCGATGCAGTCAACATCGTGTTTGAGCCAAGTGACCGCCAATGCACGATGAATGCGTTCGCTTCCAGGCGGCGCGGAAGGGCGTTCAGGTGGGCCAAGGCCAACGGCCGCAACGAGAAGCAGTTACTCATCTTTGCCAAGGATGCCTACAGGTCGGCAAGCGAGACCTGGAGGAACAAGAAGAATGCTTGAGACATGTTGCGCGTCATGCTGCGACCTGTTCAGGCGGCAACTTCCCCTTGGTAGCCACTATATGCGTATAGTGTGCGCGTGTGAGTGCTCGCGTCTTGCGCCTTCGGAGCTTTGCGACTCTTCCACGGCTAGCGTACCTATGCAGAAAATATTGCATCGCATGCAATTTGTCTCGCCTGCGCACTTTGGCGCATTTGCGCATGCAGCGCGCGTTCCGCCCATCGCTGCAGTAACCCCTGCAATTTCGCACGCGTCGCAGCCTTCGGGCTTTGCAGATGCGGCTGCAATGTTGCATGTGTGATTGCGCGTCGCGGCATGCCATGGCCACGCGCTCGGGGGGCATGCTCGGAGGGGCCCGTTCTCAGGAGGGGGGCGCGCGGGGGGGGGGGGGGGGCGATGGGCCAGCATCTATGGGGCCAGGCACCTGGCATGGGCCAAAATTTCGACGGACAGGGGGGGAGGGGGGGGGGGGTGAGAAGGAGGATGAGGCGGAGGAGGAGGCCGAGGATGAGGAGGATCAAGCTCGCGTTCGCACGCTGTTGCCATGCAATCATTGATGCACACATGTTCGATGAAGTGGTGTGTGCAGGTGACTGCAACGGTGAATGCACTCGCGGCGCAAGCACTCCTTCCCAAATGGATGAGCCGCATCTGTTTCAGCCCCCCCCCCCCCCCCCACATTTCTTATGCAAGCGCATGCGCATCTATGCGCAATCGTCGTTCCAACCGCCAAAGCCCCGCAATTGCTGCGCGCGGCTCGAGGGCGGGCTCGCGGGTGCGCTGGCCATGAAAACGGAAAAGTATCAGAAGATAGAGTCATTGAGGAGGACATGTCCACATGCATCTGTTGCTGCACCGGCTGCAATCTTGGACGAGGTCACGCGGGAACCCTTCTCAGCATCGCGGAAGGAGATCCGTGGCGCTAGAGATTCGGTTATAAACCAAGCGACTCCTTACGGCAGCTTGTTCTGTGAGATCACCAGCTCTGCCGATGATTCCGAGACGGCATTTCCTGTTGTCATTCTCCCTGCACTGTTGTGCGTGGCGCACGCCCAGCGCAGCAGCTGGCGGCCCCTCATTCAAAACGCTTTGGCGGCGAGGCCGTGCTCTTTTGAGCGACCGTGGTCGTTGATATTTCATGCGCCAGGCAACCAATTATCTCCGGACAATTCAAGGAATACGTGGATGTTCTACGTATCGTTTTTGGAATTGGGGCCAGAAGTATTGCCCCGAGAAGATGCGTGGTTCTGCGTAGGCGCAGTGAGGTCAAAACGTGTATCCAGTGTAGATGCAGGCGTCGCGCAGGCATCAATATGCTTATAACAAGTTTATTTTGTAAGTTGGATTGTTCACTGCGCACCACGGGCGTTTCATTGGAGCCTGGTGCCAGGTTACATTGCAAACTTGGGATGGTTCTCCAGGGCGGCGGTGCCCAGAAGTTAGTCTGGCTGATTAAAGGAGATGCTGGTGCCAAATGCTGCATGCCCTGCCGCAATGTAATTGCGATGGCCAGCTCACTGGTCGACGAAGATGATGTGGCCCTGCTGAGAGCAGACGTCATGCGTGAGCGCGATATCGATGTTTCGACGAATGATGACATCAGAGGCAGCGCGCGGCGTCTGGCTGAGTTCCACGCGACGGACACCAGCGCTAATTTCAAGACCTGCAGGGGTGGCCTGCAAATTCTAAGGAGGGAGGATAACCTGCAGAGGGTGGGAAGATGATGAAGGGGATGGGGATTGGAAGGGATTGGGAGGGTGATTGGTAGGAGCGGAGGATGAGCATGATGCGCGTTCGCCTCCTCCAGGATCCGCGGGCAAGCGTTCGGGTTCAACCGTAGCGTGCAGAACGTGCTGCTCGATCCACAGCTGGATCGCGTCATTTTACCTGTTGACCAGTATTGTCACGACTGGGCGCGCGCATTATTTATTCGTGGTGTTTTCAACATTTCGACGCGCCTCTTTCTTGCCGGTTGTAAGCGTAATGGGTTGTCCAACGTATGCTCATGTTCCGAGGAATATATCGGTGTGTGTGCGCTGCCCATCGCGCGCGGGAGCGCTGGAAATTTGGCCGCGCTTTTTTTCAGAAAGGCCGCGAGATTGCCAACGGCAAGGCGAAAGCGTTTAAGTGCCAGGCAAGTGAGGCGTTGTCTTTGCTGCCGCTGATCTATGCGTATGCGATGGCCGTTATATGGCCTGCAGGTGTCGCGCGCGCGCGGAGTGCACCGCTTCTGTTCGGTTGTGTGTTTCGGTGTGGTGCATCGAAGCTGCAGCGTCACCCCGCGCGTCTGCTGGCGCTCTCAGGGACAGGGCGAACGCGTTTCTGGATGCTTGTGAAGCAGCAGGGTGGCAGGGATACTTGGCGCCGAAGTTCCACTGGCTTGTCCATTTCCCAAGGCGCCTAATCAAGTTCGGATGCCTTTTGTCGTGTTTTGTACACGAGAGCACAGAGTGCCCAGGCGGTTCTGCAATGATATGCGTCAGCTGGAAGCTTCTGAGAGGAGCGTGCTGTCCGAGGTCACATGCCTGCATTTGGCAAACTTACACAGCACCGACGTGTTCGACTTCTCGCCGCACTTGGTGTGCCCTAGGGCGGCACCCAAAAAGATGCACGCCTTCCTCGAGGAGAAGCTTGGCCAGCGCCTCCCCTGGAACAGCGCGACCACTGCTCTGAAAGCTCGGGCGTCGACGTTGTCGACGCGCCAGTCCCGCGACATCGCGTTGCTGTCCGTTGCCAATGGTGGCAAGGCTTGTGGGGAGGTTTGGCTTCGCGCTGCTGTAAACGGAACGATGGTGTCGCCGGTTTCAATATGGGACACCACTCGATGCGATGATCGGCTCGGCGTGCTGACCGTGGCCCCCGCCGACGACGACTTGCAGCTGGCGCACGCGACCGACATCATCGTTGCCATGGCGGGGCGTTCGTCAAATTTCCAAACCACCACCAGCTATATACGGGCGTGCTGTCTGCAAGCAACTGTCCGCAGTGCACACGTGCAATTGCGAAAAATGCATGGTGGACATTTGCGATGGATGGGACGTCCGCGTGGTCGGCTGGGAAGGTTTGAAGACTTGCAAGGCATGCAGGCGCCATGGAGGCGGGTCAATCACGATAGTGCCTCCCGTGTTCAAGTGGTGAGACATCGCGCGAGTTGCTACCTATTTTCTTTTGCTCAGCAACGCAAAAATTGTGCATTCGAATGCATCGTGTCGCTTGCCTTGCGCCTCGCGCATCGAGATTCATCATTTCGGAAGCTAAAAATGCAGTGGCTGCACGTCAACATGCAACTACTTGCAACTACTTGCGTTGATTTAGCGCAATTCATCAGTTCCCGAAACCACTTGCTAAGTCTGCTAACTCTTACAACTGCCCAAGATCACCACAGCAAGATGGCCTGGAGCCGGCCCAAGAAGGGCCCAAGAGGGGCCAAAGACGGCCTAAGAGGGCCCAAAGACGGCCCCAAGTAGGAGCCCAGATGGGGAACCAGAGCCAACATTTCGAGCCCCTCGGCCCCGTGAGGCCCCCAGGAGGCCCCAGGGGGCCCCCAAGAGGCCCCAAGAGGCCCCAAGAGTGTCAAGATGAAGAGGCTCCCAAGAGGCCCCCCAGGAGGCTCTCAAGAGGCCCCCAGACTGCTCCCATGAGGCCACCGAGAGCGGCCCGAAGAGACCCCGAAAAAGCATCCCTGAGAATTCGGACCCAGGACCCAGGCACGGTGGCGGGATGGGCCGACGGCAATTTGACGTCTGTATTCTACACATACATGTAAACTTGTTTTCCGTGTATATCATATATGCTCATAGATCGACTTTCGAGAGATTCGTAGAATATGATTTTTCCCCAAACAGCTTGCTGAACGGGGTGCTGTTGTGGTAGAAACTAACTCCGGCCGAGGGAAGTCGGAGCAGAGACATCCTCACACACATTTTATGGTTTTGGCCGTTTCGCTTGAGACATCCTCACAACTCTCGTTTCTGAGTTGGCCGGGATTGGCCGTTTCGCCTGAGACATCCTCGAAAAGTTGTGCTCCAGGACGCCGCGCGAGAGGTGGTCCGGACCGTTTCGCTTGATACATCCTCGAAACTCTGAGCCCCGAGGTGCCGTGCGAGAGGTGGTCCGGGCCGTTTCGCCTGAGACATCCTCGAAACTCTGAGCTCTGCGATGCCTTGCGCGAGGTGGTCCGGCCCGTTTCGCCTGAGACATCCTCGAAACTCTGACTTCGGAGATGCCGCGCGAGAGGTGGTCCGGCCCGTTTCGCCTGAGACATCCTCGAATTTCTGAGCTCTGAGATGCCCTGCGCGAGGTGGTCCGGCCCGTCTCGCCTGAGACATCCTGCAACTCTGAGCTCTGAGATGCCGTGCGCAAGGTGGTCCGGCCTATTTCGCACAAGACATTCTCGCAACTCTGAGCTCTCAGATGCTGCGCGAGAGGTGGTCCAGCCTGGGCGCCCAGAAGACCACATGTTACATATCCTCCATGGGACCCTGCGAGCCTCAGGAGGCCCCAGAGAGGTCCAGGAGGCCGCAGGACGCCCAGGACAGGGCCCAGGGGCCCCCAGGAGATTCCCAGGAGGCTCCCAGGAGGCCCCAGGAGGCCCTCTTCAGAACGTGTCAAGTTAATACACATCCAGTGTCGATTCGTTGATTTTTCCTGCTCTTGGGGTCCCCCATCCATTTTGAGGGGCCCAAGCGGCCACAGGTTTGATATCCACCCTGGGAGCCTCAAGAGGCTTCAGGAAACCTCAGGTGGAGTTCAGGAGGCCACAGGAGGCCCAGGAGGAAGCTCCAGGAGGTCCCCAGGAGGCACCAGGAGGCACCAGGAGGCCGCAGGACGCCCAGGACAGGCCCCAGGGGTCTCCAGGAGATTCCCAGGAGGCTCCCAGGAGGCCCCAGGAGGCCGCCTATCAGAACGTGTCAAGTTAATACACATCCGGTGTCGATTCGTTGATTCTTCCTGCTCTTGTGCCCCCCCCTCCATTTGGAGAGGCCCAAACGGCCACAGGT